GCGTGTTAACATTTCCTAATTAGTTCTTAACACAAGGACAGCTGAGTCAATTGGGGTTTATAATTAATTGTGTATGCAATTGGTCATACCTGAGTATTAGTTTGTGCTACTACGGGTAATAGAGCAAAAGTAATTAAAGGGATCACCAAGGTGATGAGATTTCATCTTGTGGGGAACATGGATGTCTGCACCAAATTGAATAGTAATCTATCCTGTCATCATTGAGATATGCCATTTAAAATAGAATAATGGTATTTTCATAAGTGCAGCTCTGAATAGAGGGCAGCTACAAGGTTAATTTGGTCATGCATATAGAAGTGGTAGTGGAATCAGATGCATATGATGCACAGTCTCTCTGGATGAGTGTGTCAACCGAATGCCAACGGCAAATATCTAACTGTAGGCTCAGAGATAAGATAAAGTATTCCATGTGTCCCAGTAGGGAACTCAGTTGTCATTGCTGCAGCACACACTATACAAAAAATGCCTTAATGTTTAAAGTCTTGATGTGTCGGTTGTTTTCCCACCTCAGCCGTGTGGCTGCTGTTTCTGCCTGAGTCATGGTCTGATTGCTAAAGCTGGTTTTGAGAGAGAGTGGAAAGCATCTGTCTTCAGCGTGTCGGGTCCTTTAGTGTTGAGGAAAGATGAAGTGTGTCTGTTGGCTGGAGACAAGAGGCCATTGGAACACTTGAGTGTTACATTAGTAGAATGACTGATGAGGAGGGAGGGGGGGGGGTTTCATCTCACTGTCAGGATGTCTGCATGTCCTCTGTCTGATAATAGGACCTATTTGTCCCTGAAGAGTATCCTAAAAGTGCTTCCTTCCTGCAACCTGTCCTGTAATAGCTTTTTGGCAAATCTCAAGGGAGCTAATAGTGCCAAGAGCTGCATACACATACCCTAAACGCTTATGCAAATATACCACATACTTGTGGTTTCCAGGGTTTCTGCAACAGTTTCATGGAAACTATTGAATTATACATTCAGTTGGCAGTTTGCTACATCAGTCTAAAATGGATGCAGGCTGATCTTACAGTAATAAATCTTGGCTTCATTAAAGTTTTACTGTGCAATTTGTGTTGACACTGTTTCAGAGAGGTAAGCTAGCCTTAATAACAGAAACACCTCTGTATAATGTGATACAGTCGACCAGCAGCCTGAGCTACATCCTCCAGAATGATCATACAGTTGAATCAGTGACTCTAGAGTTCCATTAAAAGCATTTCAAACCTTCATAAAGGAGATTAGATTTTTTTGTAGAACTGTATTAGACTACATTAGTTTTAACTAGATGTATCTATAAATCTGCCAACTGAATATATTAACTCTTTATATTTTAAGGGGCTGTTTCAAATAGCATTTAATGTAAACATTGATGTTTGAACCATCACGAAATTCAATACCACCTGCAAAAAGTCTTAATCTTATTTCTCTGTGATGGTTCTCTGTACAACACAGTTCTCAGCGTTCTCTTATTTTCCTAGAATCACCTGAATCACTAAAGCCCTGTTTCTTTTACGACTAGTCTGTGGATTTGATGTTTAGAGGGTGAAAGAGGCTTTTAGGCATTTATGGCACTGTTTCAGCGCTCTGACTGGCTTTAAATGAGATTGCTCTTTCTTATGATCAAATTACTGGTCCCTGCACAGTGAATAAAAGCAAGCAGGGATAAATTAAATAATTTACTTTCAACCTTTATTTATCCGGGACAGGGTGACTAAGCCGACTTGCTTTTTTCTAAATCCAAAGCCATTCACTTGATGCGTGTTCTGCTGAATTTAAATGTGATTTCATAAGGGGACTGCTGGGACCTTGGTAGAAGTACTGTACTGAGTGCCAGTCTAGCTTGCATATCTATTGACCTTGGCCTTAAATTGATGGAAACAATATTTTACATTACATGCAATGCAAGTTATGTTTTGGGGTAAATTAGAAATGTGCAATCACTTAGGTTGTCCTGCAGGATCTGCACAGACTCCATAGTTCTCAGCATGGTCAATAACACACAAAGCAGAATATGCACCACAGTGTGAAGTGGTCTTCATGGTAGGTTGTTAATTAATTTGTGGAATATATCGCTGAAAAGTTAATAAACATAGCCCCATCATTTTTCCTCTTCAAAACACCTGACAGAAGAACTGCTGTGACACAAGTCGAAAAGAAAGTTAGGGGTTAGTAGAGGAACGTGTCTTTGCACAGTGCATCACACCCTGGTCAGTGGATCTGCACTGTGAGGTCATAACGCTATTGCCACCTCGGGTCATAATACTACTTCATTGTCATCTGGCCTCCTGTCTCCCACAGCCCCCAATAGGTTGATCAGGTAAATCTCAGGTGGGGCCACAGCATTTATTCCATTAAAATATCCACACAAAACAGCAATCAGCATAAGTGGCTGTCTGCCCTAATCTTGAAAGCATTTTTAGGACAGTTATGTGTTGGTATGCAGCTGCTCTACGCAAAATAATCTCCTTGAAAGCATAGAGTGCAATTAACAGATGGTCTCACTTGATCATAAACTTGTGTTGAAGCCTTAGCCTAGATTGTTATTCCTGTGGCAGATAGTGTGGTTGAGGCTGTTGCAGTGGCCAAATAGAAGCAAAGGAACTCTTGGTAATGAGTGCTGGGTGTGTTCATATGAGGTGGTGAACAGATGCATAGGTGGGGCAGCTGATACAAACCAATGCACATGTTGCCTTTTGTGTGCCTCATGTTTGGGCCTCATTTAGCTCCATTTCCCATTAGTGGTCAACTTGGGAATCCTGAGGTTCTATTCCTGGTCTTGGGGCCACCTTTCTGCTTTTGGATTGGATTTTTGTCAGTTTTTATTTATGTATCGTTTTTATTTGGCCTTAGGGTTTATTTTGTTTTGTTCCAGTATAGCTGCTGACAGACTGTTGACTAACTGGGGAGTTTGCGTGTGCTTGTGAGTGTGCATTAGAAATTCAGTCTCTTTTCTTGTTTATTCTTTTTATGCCCATGTGAACTTTTGGTCTGACAGATGAGCAAATATAATATGTTTTCTGTTTGAACAAGGAGTGTGACAATTCTGAAACTGAGACAGACACCACCATACAAACGTCCACATTTGTGTGGTCACTGTTGTCATATGAGGAGATTGTATGGTCAGTAATTCTAGCTATGACTTGTCAGACGTCCCATTTCACAACCCGTTATCTTTCATGGGCCAGGGATCAACTGGATGTCCATCCATCCTTCCGTCCACAAATTCATTTGTCCACTTATCATTCACATTCCTGTGATTTCCTGTGATGCTAATATACTTGCTAGTTCTCACTAGAAATGCTTATCAGTTAAGCTAATTATTAATATAAATGTACAATGTACTATGTTAACTGTGGCATTATACAGATGTTATACAGCTGCCAGTCATTAGGTGGCTTCTCTCGCTGAACTAATGCTTGAATGTTGGAAACCAACAAGGTGGAAAACAGGACAGAAGACATCCTGTATAACCAGTGCGGTTTGACATGCGGTGTTTGATCTAGATAGTGTAAATAAGTTTGCATGTAGGCTGTGACAGAATAAACTGGTGTATACATTAAACACCGCACTGCAACAATGTGTAACCATAATTATAACCTGCAAGGAGAAATTTACCACAGTGTTTACCAGTAATTACCTACTCTGTGCCGGCTACCGCAGTTCAGTTTGTACGCCACATTTTCATAATGAACCTAATATAGTTTTACCTTGTTTGAAATTTCAGAAAGAATAAGTGCCCCTCATTAGAATAAATGCAACACATTTTAATTCATGAAATGAGACATAATTTCTCTTTTGCTTGGCTGTGTTTACACTTGTGCATTTGGCAAAGTGCTGTGTTCCTCTGTGCATTGTGTTAATCATCTCCAGAATGGGATGAAAACGAAAATGCGAGTGATTGCGGTGCTTACTGTTCTGAGGTAAAACTTTATGACAGGGTTTAATTGGTATATTAAACTAGGCTCTCAAATTTGGGATGTATTGGAGCAGTTGTTGGATACAGAATGAATTTAATCCATGAATGCTCTCACTAGTGATAATCCAAAAGTTTTTCTGTGTGTACTCAGAGGCTTGTTTTCTGCTTGTTGTGTTTCACATATAAATGTCACATCACTTTGATTTGTCGTGTCTTGTTGGGAAAATCAGCTTCCCGCTGCTCTGCTGTGTAATAACTAACAGCAGGAGCGGGGAGGAGTTCCAGCTGAATTTTGAAATGAGAAGGCAAAGGTTAGATAGAAACATAACAGCTAAACCAAAGACGTATACCTGCCAGCCCAGTTAGGTCCAATTCCTGTGGATTCATAAACTGACAACAGGTGTCCTCTCTAATATGTGATTCAGTGACTCTCAAGCTGGTCCAGTGGAACAGGTAATCGGCAGCCAGCAAATTCCTTCTCTGGTTCGATAAAGGTTAAAAAACAGTGTCATGCATCAGCGTCTCTATAGGGACGAGAAGATGAGGGCAGAGGGAAAAAGAGATATTGAAGTATGAATTTTTCAATTGGGAAGGGAGCTGACACTGTCTGAGCTTCCGTTCCTCACTGCCTCCCACTAGAAACTGGCTGTTTATTAAAGCCCTGGAGCTACGACACCTTTGTCGGGGTGGTAAAAGGCAGTGGGGGATGGTGAATGGGCTTCTGTTTTCTGTTTTTGTCATCTTTGCTGTGGCAGAAACGAGAGAAATCCTTCGTTGTGCTTCTGTGCAGCCTGTTTTGTTCTGAAATGTGATGGATGAGTAGGCATGACGCTGCATTGGATTGCAATCTTTCGAGCTACCCATCCCACATGAGGTTAAAGGGTGCTGAAAGAATTCAAGGCTTTTCTAGTCAAAAAATAAGTGCTGTGAAAACTATTGCAAAGCTTTGAGGATTTCATTTTCAACACATTGAATGAAAATATAATTGAATGAAATGAAAATAAAAATGTTCAGTTGTATGAACAGTTGTTTTGTTGTCCCCTTGTGGTAACACATTGCTTCTCTCTTCTCCTGACAGATATGCAGCCGTCAGAGCGCCGCTGACAGGCCTGACTCTGGTTCAACACGACCATGGAGTCCTCTTCTGAGTCCCAGCAGGAGCCTGAGAAAACATTGGTGAGTCTCTGGCCTATGTACAGTTTTACTGTCACACATTAACTTGTCATCATTGTTTTTAAAATGTTTAAAAGGCCAATGTTTACTAAAACCCTTATTTCTCAGCTTCTTAAACAAGGAACAGAAACTAAATTAAATTAAATTAAAAATATTTCACAGCTGAAACACTGGATATTACTGGAAACAATAAGTATATTTGTCTACACTTTGAGTTCTCTTCAACTTTTTTATTGTTTAATAAGTGGACTTTCTTGTCTCTGCTATACCGTCCAGGGCAATCGATGTACGAGGAAGGAAAAACACACTGTTAGCCAGTTTCCTTCCGCTATTAGTTTTGCTAACTCGTAATGGATCATCATTATACATTGCCATTTTCTGTATAATCTGAGGAAAGATTTAACACATTACCTCAATGTGAACATGATTTGCCCCAGGTATATTTTAATCTGCAATGGTGCAGAGAACTCCCATGATCGCACGCTGATTCACGACATCATCCATTTAATTCCTATGGTATCATTTTGATTTAGAGACCCATAGCGGCCGAGGTTACAGTTTGTACGTTTCATGCGTCTATCTCCCTCTGATATGCTGGAAGATAACGGTTTTAGTGACCCTGTAATAGCATTTGCAAAGTCAGGCATGTCATTTTACCTCAGGCCTAATGTGATACTGGCTGTTTTTCGCGAAACTCCTCCACCTCCCATTCCCTCTCAAATATGTCTCCCACCCTGAGCCCTAACTAGGAACTCAGCAGGCATGTCTAAGTCAATCTTCTAAGTTGTTGTCATTGCTATAGACTGCTTTAGTCTCACTCCCCTTCTCAGGGTTTTTTAACTGCTGAAATTTCACAGAGCATTTCACCTTTGTGACAGAATTTCAATTTAAAGCATTTCATCCGTCACATACCCAATCAACAGCACCATATGAAGCCATAGAGCCCATGGAGTTAAAGCGAGATGCACACATGGGTAAATGTGTTCAGTTCAAGCAATCCACCCACCCTGCCTCATTGCTTCGTCATTGTCCCTAATAATTGGTGGTTTTCACTAAACCTCCATGTATTGTCTCCAGTCAGAAAGGGATCCTGCTTGTTTTTGGCATCAGTGACAGGATGTTTGCTCCATGAGTGCACTCTCTGAATCCAAACGATTAGATAAAGGTGCTAATATTACTGACCGGCCACAGACCTGTCAGGCCCTTTGTGGCCAACACTGCACATTGCTGTTTGTAATTAAGCTACTGTCAGAGTGAGTGTCAGTAGATAGACAAGCCAGCTACAGTCACTTAGGCTGTAGCAGATTAAAGGTCAAAGAGGTGTTTTTTTAAAGATGTCCTCTTCCATAGAAGACACAGTCAACCACAATTCTGATGTTGAGCTAAAATGACAAATCAGTTATTCGATCAATGAATTGACTGAGCAATTATACTGTAATTACATATATATATATATATATATATATATATATAATTCCCATTTCTATGGAGAGGACTATACAGTGAGCTCACTGGCAAAAGAAAAAAACCCTAATTATGTCATTGAATATTTATTGTATACTAGTATTTATAGCTGTAGATTAAAAGCACATAGCAGCATCTATAAGTTACTTTGTTCTTGTTGGAGGAGAAACAACGACAGAGTGGTGAGACGACACATGGGACAACATAGTACAACAACAAACTGAGAAAGACCAAGGCAAGCACCGAGACTTAATTACACACTGAACTAATGACAAACTAGGGACAGGTGGCACAGGACAAACAGGTGAGACTGACGAGGGCAAGAAGTCCAGGTGAAAAACGCACTAGGAGCAGAAACTACAAAATAAAACAGGACACAGAGATGAACACTGAGAGGAACACAGAGTGGGACACAGAGAGAAACAGATTGGGACAAGGAAAACACACCAGGAACAAAGCTACAACATAAAACTGAAAACTGCCCTCCCCAGTCCTGGATCTTCAGTGCCTACGATACTATAGAAAAACGAGTATCACACAATTTTGTCTTTGGCCAACGTATTCTTCCCGTACATGTCTACTAAAGTGACTCTCCCCAAACATTTACACAGATAAACTCTCTTGAAGGCACTTTTTAGATCCCAGCATTGTTAGGTGACCTTGCCCTTTCATTTCACCTCTTTCATAATCCTCAATTGCCTTTTTTGTAGTGAGCAGGAGGGCAATTATAATAGCAGATAACTGGGCTGATAATGGTGTTCCCTCATGCCTCCGCACACAATGACACACAATTGGATCGAATGGGAGCAGAGCTAAGAGCCCTTCCCTACTTCTTTGAGTCTTGCTCAGAGTGGAAGTAGTTTTAATAACACTCAATCTCTGTTATTAGTGCAAGCTAATTTCTCACCCCAGCATCTCTGGAGCCTAATTTAGTGGCTGCATAATAAAACCGCTGATGCATAAATTGGTTTGAAATTGGTTTACTTTTTGAATGCTTTTTTTGGCCGGTTGAATTGCATTTGATGAACGTGTACCTCTTTGTGACTAAACAATAAATCTTCTTTGTGAAGGTTGCGGGACAGCGTGTTATCACTTGATTGCAGATTATAAGCGACTGCAGTGCCAGGATAGTGTGAGACTTAGACTGTGGGGTGTATTGTGTTGGTGGCTTATCCTGCTGTTCGCTGAAAGGGCCCGTTGGTGGAGAGGATGGCTCCAAACGCTGAGATGAAAGACTCTGGGAAGCGCGCCAGGTGTCTGCCGCTTCTCCTCTCGCTCTGACATCCTCACAGTCAGGAGACGCTTCGGGATGGTTTATGGCAGCATGCATCCCCTACCCCCTCCTCCTCCCCTCCTGTTTCAAACATCCACCGCCATTCAGTCTCCTGTCATTTGCATTGTACACACTGTAATGAAAGTGCTGGTGACCTGCTGTTCTCAATAGGCAGCAGTGAAAAGGCACATAGACAGCCATTATGCACTCAAACAATGGTTTTTGAGGTGGCTTAAAGGTAAGAAAAGAGGATCTGCAAGATCACTGACTGAGGGGATTTCAGTAGCTAAAATAGATGAGAGGAAAAAGAAATTCAACCGAGATGGCTGTTGAATTGCTCCTGCGTAAGACTTTTGTTCCAGAGAAGGTTTGCAGGTGCCAACCGTAAAAGACTGGTTGTGCTAGTTTCCAGATGTGAATGCAAGTCAGGATATTTCTGGGGAAAGATATGAAATCAGCTATCTTTCATGGATTTTGAGAAAGAAAGAAAATATTCAAAAGTCTCTCAGGAACAAGATTTTCTACTGTTCCTTTCTGGTGAAGCAACACCGCAGATGAACACCACCAACTCTCAATCAACCCTCCGACAAGGGACCAGTGCACTGCATCTTAAGCAACTAGACATTCTGGGAAAAGACTTGAGTTTGTAATACTTCAATAAGTTGGAAACTAGTAGAGGATTATGTCCCAACTGTGCATTTTTTTACTGCCCATAAATACCAGGCTGCATATCTGTCAGGCCAAGATATCTATCATAATAAAAATCGACAAATGGTGCACCTCTGTAATGGACTCTTCTCATGTGTGACAATGCTTTCCGCTGCTCAATGAATCATCAGTGTGAAAGATTGCAGAGTCTAAGGTTTTTGTAGAGTCAAGTTTATTCCATGAACACAATTTTCAACAGGACTTTTTAGCCACGCTAGTAGACTGACAAAATTTGATCTCGGTGATCCACCAACTATTCATCTAGCGCCACTCACAGGTAAAAGTTTTCAAAACACCGCAACATGAACTCGATGTATTGACTGTATTGAGTCGTTTCATAGTTATATTAGTAAATATTCAAGCCACATAATGACATTTGACAAAGTCGAAACTATGCAGGAAATGTGCTCTTACCCAAGTACATAATAAAAGCAGTAGCAATAAATGAATGCAAGAAACTGCCAGTAGTTTTCCACATGTAACTTTTAATATGACAGTATTGTTAAATCTTGATTCTGCTATTAAGAAAATAATCACTAACTGTCAGAGCGACAGTAGGTACTGGGTATTTGTTCCTAGACCTACAACACCATATAGTGTGACAGGAATAAGCTCCAGGAGGCTGCAAGAAACCAGAGTTGAGAATTAGCTTCAGGCTGCTGTCAGGGATTGAGTATCTGAGGAGGCATCAGCTATACTGTACATCAGTGGTCAGTCTCAAGATGCTGTCGACAGAGCCGAGCTGACAGCCCAGGCTGATGAGACACAATCTCACCTCTTAAGTAAATGAGCTAAAGTAAACAGGAAAAGCAAGCACATCCTCCACGGCTTTAGCTTGGCCTCAGATGTGGGAAATCTGCAAATGAGAGTCTGAAAATATACAAGCTTTTTTGACAAAGTGAACTTCAGATGATGTGGAGGAAGTTTCAGGATGATCTGGATTTGTCATAGGTTGGCAGACATTTTCCCGTTTTTCCATTACAGATAAATCACTCTATTAATCAGGCAAAGGTGGTGGGTGGGCTGTTAATTTGAGGACATTAATCAAGACGGTATGGATTATCTAGGATGTAGTAGAAGTACTATGTGTGTGATAACTCTATGGATCCAACCTATTTCAGTGTTGTTCTCTATTATAGGACCCATCGGACCCTATTAGACTTGCTAAACAGACATTTAGTTCTTTTGCTAGTGTGAATCAATAAGTGCACAATGAACTAAAAGGCACAGTTCCCTTTTGGAGTATCTCTTACCTTCAGATGCTGACACCATGTGTATCAGCACAAGAGCTGCAATTATGATGCAGTATATATTTTATATTAAGAAGTGAGATGAGTGGATGCCCTCCTCACAGTCATACAGTGCATCATACTATTATTTGGGCCACATGTATGTTAAAGCTACATATACAATATATACAATAGTGTCCACTGAAAGTCATTCAAGCATTCATAGATACGCTCCATTTAACGTACAGTATATATAATCTCATACACAGTTGTGGCTTTGGAGCAATATACCTATTGTTGTGTTTTCCTCTTAGGGATGGAGGTCCATA